TAAATTTCCGGGCTCGGTAAACAACACCTTCGTTAAAATTTGGATGTGCTATCCCGTTAAAAATAAGTTTTCCACAGGTATAAGCAAACTTCCAAACCAAATATTTATATCTATGCGAAAATTTAGTAAAGGTTTAAAGTTATATGTGGTAACAAAATCTTGTTTACTTTAAAATGTCAAAATTTCCCACACCAAAAGCACTTTAAGTTCACATAAGGAACGAAAGTCGAACATGTTTCAGACCGTGTAAATGTTTGGGGTTTTTTTTCATCACATGCAACTGTTTTGAATCATATTTGTCGATACACATTGTTTTATTGTCGTGGTTGATTTCTGTCGCAAACGATTGGACTTTCGTAAATGTTCATATTATAGATAGTGCACAGGATTATGCAACACACACTGTGAATTGATATTTCAGGATCAACAGAATGCTCAGGATCCTCGCACCAATTGACGTGTAGTAATTTACAACACGGGGAAACTAGCTGTAGATGTGAATAAGAAAGCAATACACAGGTTGTACTTTAAATGTTCTATTGTTGAATCTAAAATAAATCTACAAAATTACATGAAACAAATTCCATAAATTCCGTAAACAATAACAACGTCACATGTACAGTCAGCTGGAAAGTCCTTCATTCTAGTGATACGGAGTCCGTATCGTAGCTATCGTTCAAAAATCCTCAATGCCTACACTTTAGAAAAGTCTTTTTCCATAACAGATTTTCAATTGTTCGATTATTAAATGACACTCATTAATATGAATTTGACATCTGATCTTAGGTCTCAATTATGAACTATTCACAAATACTCAGTTTAATCCTTCATATCAAAATGACCTTGACTATTTAAGTTCTATTTTACTTATTAAACTTCATACAGAATACGACATATGGATTTGAGAAAAAGATTGTAACAAAATGAAACAGTGTTGAAAAACTATTAAATAAAGTCATAGATATTTACACCACCCCTGATCCAAAAATTGATACAATTGTTGGACATAGATATGCTAGTTCCATAGGTAAAATATAACTGTCACCTAGTATTGCAATGTAAACGGGTTTTCGTGTGTAAACGGATTTTCCTTTCATAATTTGTCTCATGACATTATACCCCGCTAGCTCAGCCGTTTACGTTACTGGTAGAAAGGGTTCGGCATGTGCTTTCGCTCCAGGACTTCAAACAGCATACTGACAATACAAAGAAACAATAAATGCAATAAATGAAAGGTATAAGAAACCTAGAAAGGACCAGAGATGACGAGTTTGCCAAGCAAAGCATTTGCTCATATAACAAGTAACCAAGATTCATAAAACAGTTTCATATTTAATAGACTAGACAATAAATACATAAATATCGCGGTATCTCCATGTGAAATTTTAAATTCTTTAGAATTTCAATACATTTTCGAACTTCCCTTTTTAGGATAAACGATGCATTTGCGGTGAAAAATACTAATAAACAATTAACCATTTCTAGGAAGGGTTTGGCCTAAGTGCTATCTAATTGAATAAAATGATAAGATACTAGGATTTTAGAGGTGTCCGTTTAATTAAAATAACGAGAGCTGTACACTAGAGTAGTCGTCTTTAACAATATACTAAATTCAATCAATCAAGTTCGTGACGTCCCACCTTCCGAGATAAAATAAATATACCCACCGGTTCCCACCGACTTTGTTAGACTAGAACATAAACCTCGTAATTCCATGGACTAGGCAACAAAATCAATTCAGTAAAAAAAAAAACATCGCATTCAATCTATTCCCGTTTAATTTTCGTTCCAACCAGAGCAATGTCTGAAACACATTTTTCAATATCATTGACCAGTTCAAGACCTTAAATAAAACATGCGACAATCAAAATTCCGTTTCAGAGTAAGGCACGAACAATTCCGAAGATTGACGACCGTTACTCTAAAATATCCCTCGGATAAACCATCTTTCTAAATATCGCAATAAAAATGAACCCCATCTCTTTATAAACCTGAAATCATAAAATATCTAGCTAGTGTACAATTCCTTTTATTTATTTTGGAACGGAAACGTAAATTAATAATTTAGAAATGTTTTGACTCTAAAACTGAAAAGAAATATATCAAATGTAAAGTAAGAAATATTTAAGTCAAACATTGAAATACGAATAAAATGAAATTTAAAGTACGACTTACCAGTACGAAATGTTTCCCCAATCTAAAGAAATATTTAAATATCCAAGTCTGGACATTGAGTCTCAAGCACGAGAAAAACGATCCCAGCGAAAAGTGAACGGACAAACAAGTTATAAATGTATCTAAAAATAGGAAAAGGGGAATTTACGATGACCCATAAACGTTACAGTATATACATAATGCACATGATAATTGGGAAAAACATAAATATTGGCATGCTACGAAATAGATATATAAAAATTTTAAAAAAGTAAATATAAAAACGAAGATTTGGTATGGGTGCCAATAAGACAACCCCAAAATGATTAGACTAAGTGTAAATAATCAAACAGGAAATCCAACAGTCTAATCTAGATAAAAAACGAGAAACGAGAAACACTTATGAACCCCACCAATAAACGACAACCACTGAACAACAGGCTTCTGACTATAACATATAATAGAAAATAAAGCATGAGCATGAAATCATTTGTCATTAATAAAGTGTAAAATGTTTTGAGATCCTCTGGATGATCGAACATTAATACCAAGGGTAAATCATAAAGCTATGCTGCTCGTCTGAACCGCAAAAGATTGGCGACCAATTAGTCAAGATGGACTGAAACAAAAGCTAACAATTCATGTCCCAAATTAGAGTGTATTTCAAATGGTAGCAGCACGTGATAATTTGTTTCCCGGTGATCACAACGACAGTTTGTGGAGACTACTAAATTGAGAGGGAAAAAGTTAAAATCAAACGAATTCGAGCCAATTCTTAAGCGAAGCTCAAACATGTAAATATAATCTTTATAATAATAATTCGGGATTTTATTATTGTGTTGCGAAATTGTTTAATAATCATTAATAAAGATTCACATTTTCTGATGTCAAGGTGGTATGGGTTTCTTCCACCATCTTGGATTGTAAAGAAACAGAACACAATAGGGATAATTTTTAAAAGAGGTCAACAAATTTGATACACAAATCTAATTTACTAAAAATAATTTTCATTTCAATGAACACATTTATGCGAATTAATCTTATAATTACTAATATGATTTAAAATGTACAATATTAATGCTTGATTGAATTTTTCAACTGGAGTTATTAAAGGGAGGTTACTTAGAAATTTGACAATTCATTAAGGAATCTACAAGGAAGTTTTCTATTAAATGTTATAGCCGAAAGAAACGTACGGACACACCATTTTCTATTGGTATTCTGATGATACATTATAAAAACTAACTTCTCATATTTTATTTTAAAATGCTATCTTTTAGTTTACATTCTATTCACTTTATGATACTTTTCTCTGTATTTCTATACAAAATGACCCTTGAGCTGACTCCTGCATTTACAGAAAACTATCGAAACATGAACTGTTGACTACCATCCTTTTAGGCTATTTTTTTCATTTCATTGTCAAACCAATTGAATATAGAAACCAATCGTTTGTTAGAGTTTGAGTAGCAGTCAATTATGGCAAACACTATCTAAAGCTTAACTTATTTTACAAACTACTACCCTTTTTTCTGAACTATTATCTACTGTTTTTCCAAAAAAAAATGAAATAAAAACTAATTAATTTACTACAGAACGACCCATATTAAAGACTTACTAATATTTAGTTATAATGCTATTGATTTTTAAATTATTGTAAACGTGTTAATATACACAGTGTTCAATATACATCTGATACTACACTCAACGAAGACATAGGTCTGTAGGTCTATAGTTTTACAAATCATTCAGTTTACCTTTTGTATATATCAGAGTTAAAATTCCTCGATTCCATTGATCTGAAAAATTTCGATTATTGTCTACCATCAGGCGTTTATAATAATGTGATCCATTTAAAAATAAACTACAATACTGTTGGAACCTCAAAGTATAGAAAAGAGAATGGAAAGAGGGAAATATATATCAAGGAGACAACAACCTGACCAAAGAGTAGAAAACAACTCCGGGCCACAAAGGGTCTGAAAAGAAACGAGAAAACACCGCAGGCTGGCTACAGCTGGCCCCAAAATAAAATCTATACAAGCTCAGTGAAATGGACACCACACTATGATTTCCGAACCAAACAAATAAACCAAAATTATTAAAAAAAAAACGCAATACTAACAAAGTCTAGAGGTTCCTTAGTTGGAACACGCGCAAATATGAAGTGTTGTTAAATATATTTTTTTGAGATTTCAACACCTCCCGTATACCTGTTACCAATCTGGAATAAACAAATACATAACAATACACACAGTATAACTCAGTTCAAAAGAAGTCCAAGTCTGATACATTGACATGTGATACTTTTGATCTTAATAAATTATTTGTGCAAGTTGGTTTACCTGAGCGGGTCGAGTTTGTTGAAAATGGGGCACGCTTGTTTAAAGTCGGACGACGTTGGTTGAAAGTTGGAGCAAGTAGGTTTTGGAAGATTTGTTATGGAACGAGCTGTTAGGGATGCTTATTTTTAACAAGCGTTTTCTAAAATTCAAGCTCATTGGAAACCAAGAAGGTCTAGCGCCGACAGTTCCAGTAAAGAAAACAATCATTTATATATACTGACATCTTTCAACGAATGTAAGTTATTATCAGAAGTTTGAATTTAAAAAGGTCTTTGTTAACTTCATTTATCAATACAACATATATATCAAGATGCAATTTGTTTATCCTTTTCGCTCACTTTCCCAAATTGAAAATGCATTAGATTTTGAAAGCGACATTGAACAATTATAATCTCAATTTGATATGCATTTTTAATGAGACCCTGTTTATATATAGCTTTTCATTACACTTTAAGCAAAACAGGGACACCGAGATACTTCCTTATCACGATCAATGCCATTACATTCATAATGAGGCTGTTTTTAACTTAAGAAATTAAATATACTTCTCGAAAGACATCGAGAGATAAACTGAAATATAACAAGAAAGTAAACATAAACAGTAATATAACAAATATACTGAACTCCAAGGAAAATTCAAAACGATAAATGCCTTATTAAATGGTAAAATCAAAAACTTTTAATACATCAAACGAATGGAAAACAACTATCATATTCATGACTTGGTACAGGCACTACCTTATGTTGAAAATGGTGGATTAAACCTGGTTTTATAGCTAGCTAAACCTCTCACTTGTTTGACAGTCGCATAAAATTCCATTATATTGACAACAATCTGTTAACAAAAAAAAATGTTTCTTATACTTTTAAGCTATAACATTGTATGATACTTTAGTTCAAACAGAGTCCACATTCAATTGTATATCTTTATATATTATGCTTTTACACAAAATCATACGTTTCAAACTATAAAAGTAAGTACATGAAAAACTAGTGCCTATGAGACAGTTATCTTCCAGATCCCAGTCAAATTGAAAGTTAGCAGCAATAGGTCACTGGTCGGCTTTAAACAATTATCCTGTTTCTGGGATGGCATATACATTCTGCGTATTATTCAAAGCTGGAGCAGTATGATATCTGCAATGTATTACATTTTTGGTTCGTAAAACAGAAATATAATGAAAATGATCAAGAAACACAGTCAAATGTGTAATATGAAAATCATTACTGTCAGATATCATCAATAAAATAGAATGAACAATTCAAGAGCTGTAAAAGCAGGTTAAGGTCGTTCTGACCAGAATATAATCTAAACTGTTTGAAGTGTATCGAACCATTGTTTCATCATGTTTATTTAAAAAAGACTCTTTTCGTTTGCACATTTTTATCTCAAAAGTATAGTAAAGAGACGGATTTTGCTTGAAAAAAGCCCTTTTCAAAATTGAAGTTTTGTTTTAATAAAGTTTAATAGGTCATTTACCAAACAGGGTATTTTTATAACTTTACTCTGAAGAATGGGTAATTAGGTTTACTTCTAGTCATCCTTTCGTCATAATAATATATTCTATTTTTTGTCGCATAATTGTAAGGAAGTACGAACTGTTTCAACACACCAACCGCTCCTCAAATTTCGGTGCGTCGAATATTTACTTATATAATTACAAACAATAACCCTTTATTACAATTTTTGTCACCTTTTTCTCAGACAACACGATTTAGAATTATCCAAAATTTGACCATCAACTAGATTCAAGTCTGAGGCGTTGTCATGTCGATTGCTAATACGTCTATATGTCATCACTTACATGTATTTTAATGATATATATGTTCATTGAGAGAGAGAGAGAGAGAGAGAGAGAGAGAGAGAGAGAGAGAGAGAGATTACTTCCCTTGACAATCTTTAAAAAAGTTTATAATAGGGAAATTAGCCTTGAAAGGGGGAACATCCTTATTAATTTTTCAATGACAAAAAAAACCCATACGACATAACAAGTTATAAAATGAAGTAACATGACAACCTGTAAAAACAGTTCCAACTAGAAAGTAAATGACCTGATACATAGATTATATGCTATCACTCAATAACCGAGATTTCAATAAGTGAAAACATCTCCCAGTGAAAACTACCAAAATTAGGAAGGAAATCGCTTCAAAGCTTGATCTTTCGTTCGGTATTGACAAATTCGAACGACTGCAATGTAGAATTTATCACAAACAGAATCATATCAATTGTTTAGATACCAGTATAATCGTGAGACATGTAGATTTTACCGATTTCGTCCAATTTCCGAATATTACATTACATGAAGTCGCATGGCGGGAGATGCCATCATAACATTAGATGCTTACAATGTCGACGGAACCGGTATTGTTACGTTTTTGAAATCATGCATGTATCTCAGTTTTTGTTCTTGTTTACCTATATTTGTTTTTCGTCTGTTTTTCATTATCGATGATTGAGATCTGAACATTGATCAAATACTGTCGGCTTAATTTATGCACACATATAACAAAAATATAATTATGATATACAATAACAAACGACAACCACTGAATAACATGCTCTTGTCTTGGGACAGGCACTTCCAGAATGAAGTGTGGCTAGTTATGTTTAGCTTCCAGCTAAATTACACTAAATATTTTGTCAAAGTAATGCGAGATTTGCAAGTGATATTATTATGACAATTACAATTACATGAAACAAAATAGACAAATTCATCTTTATAATGAAAATAAAAATGATAATCATTACTCACATTGGAATGGTAGGACATCTTTCATGTGGACCAATTATATGTATTACGTCTGCAATATGACAAACACAGTTACATGTATACTGAAGACCATTTAAAAGAAAAAACTTTTGCATGATATTTCATTGATTTAAAACACATGTGAACACACAAAAATTGATAAAAAAAACCTTTTAAATAATAAAGCATCGCATCAATCTTTTGTATTGTATTAATTGACTGATGACTGTTTTCATAGCATTTACATTTAAATACCTCTTTCAGAAATTCAACATTATAGATAAAACAACATTAAATTAGACAAGCTATGATATGTACATTTATGCAATTTTGACGTTTTAAATGTATCAACAAGAAATACATGCGGCAATGAAACATCACATAGTACAGGTATGTTTGGCTAACGTTTAATCTCCGTAAAGATGGACGGACGGTGGTATTATATTGTAAGCAGATGACTTTTATCCAGATAACAGTTGCATAAGAAAATTTCCTATATTGTTTGAAACATCGATTATGCTCTCAAATGTAACACTTAATTGTTGGATTACGAAAAGTTAGAACTCAAGTGTACCAAATGATATTTGAAATAACCCTTGACGTACGTAAGCAAATTCATATTATACGTTTATTGTTTAGCAAAAACTGCTATATTACAATAACAGTCCACCAGCAGTGGTATCGAACCAATGATAGTAAATTTAAATACTATTTGATAAATTTTGTAATACTTCATCGCTTTTTTTTGTATGTCATTAACACTGAATAACTATGTAGAAATATTGAGAGCAAAATAACAAGAGGGAATCTAACAAGAATAGTCAACATTGCCTGCATGAGTTTTTGAGTAATTTCTTAATCAATAGGGAGTTTAAGAAGACTATGTTTTAAATCATATCTGTACTGACTACTGGCTACTGATTCAAAGTACAGTATAATGTGGCAGTCTATCTAAAAAATATAAATAGTATAACAGACATACTTTTACGTCGCATCCCTTTCGACATGATTACTGTTCCAGCTGTACTCAAAAGAAATATTCCAATGGCAATAATGCAAAACACCACTGTACGTAAATCGAAAGAAGCTGTCAAAGCTAAACAAAGGATCATAATAATGATAATAAAATCAACAAAAATAAATAAAACATATAAATGGAAATTTGACAAATTATATATATCGTATATTCGGTAGAATAGAACCATTCAACAACAATCATTTATCTCAATTAGATCTTAGATCAAAAATATTTGGTCTAACAAAGCTGATTCAGGAGCAGCATGACAGATATATGAATTACATTTTGTGTTTTTAAAGGATTAAACTCCATAGTCGAGTAGGTTTAAAATAATAGATTCAGTTTATTATGCAAAGTTTAATGAATAATTTAATATGTGTATTTTTATAAGTACATGACATTATATGACTGATTTATCGCATACTTATTTCGCGAACTTAGTATACATAGGATGTATGATATCGTGTATATGGACAAAAAGCGTGCAAATAGTTGGAATTTATTGAGAATCTATTTATATGTGTCATCGCCGATTTATTGTGCGATTTTGACTTCTTCAATGAGGGAATCCTATAATTTAATCAGTATTTCATTGAATTGACTTTGCCTTCAACTGCAACATGTATGCTTAGAATATAATTCTACACAACATGGATTCGATTTCAAACATTTATACGCACCAAACGTCTTATTTGGATAATACGACATATCTTACCTTGTGTACTTAATTTATTCACTTCAAAAAAGAGTCTTGTTTCACCAAATGTATTTTGGAGAAGTAAAACGTATTCCCCAACTAAAGACGATCTGATTGACAAATTAGCAGTATACCCATCACATTCAATACTTTTATTATAAAGAATAAGTTCAATCTTGTTTCTATCTAGCGTTTGCAACCAATCTGTCGATTTGGTCAGTGTCTGGTTGGATTGCTCCCAAGTAAGAACCATCTCTGAAGAAGAGTAAAATGTCGCAGAAAGGGTTGTTTGTTGTTCCCGAATAACGTCCGACGAGATTATCACTGGGGAAGCTCAAATGAAAGAAAAGCAAAACAAATGTATATTATTTAGTTACAATGAAACAGATGCAAATTGATCGCTATTTAATACGTGTGTAAGCCAAGTTGTTAAAATGTTCATCACATACATACTTTTAATAATTCCTTTGACCATAGCTCCATTTGAGTAAGAGTTTTGCATTATTGTCGGTATTTATGGAATGAATTTTAAATGAAGATTGTCTCCATAACAGAGGCTTTCCACCAAACGCTTTTCAGTATTTTTCAAGGTATTATATACATGTAAAAAAAGGTCCTTTATTAAAAAGTCATGGTGAATGCCTTTGATTTTTAACATTGTCCTTAACCGGAGAGCATTCGCCTTGAAGCATTGACTGGAGAAATTGTCTCCATCAAAATATAATTGAAAGCAGTATTCATGACCATTTCCACCTTCGGTTTTTTCATACGTGGCTCTGTTTATATGCTTACCCGAAACAAGGTTTGGGTTTTCGGGTGAAATAGATGATAACAGTTGGTCAAAAAAGGTTTCATCCGTCCGATACTTCACACGTCCAGGTTTGATACATTGTAGTACGTTGCACCTAAATGTAATAAAAGAGCGTACAAAATCTAACAATATCGCAGACCTACCATTAACAACAAGATCAATAGTTTTATTTGCAACTAGAGTTGTATCTCCATATTTGTTCCATGCAGTACATATGTATTCTCCGGCATTCTGGTAACTACACGTTTCAACCTCTAAAATCGACTTCCTTTCTAGCACGGATCCATTTAATCTGCGAATATATGCCCCATTAAAATAGTGTATCCATGGGTTAAACCCGTAAACAGGGAGTACTGTTTTAATAGTACACGACAATGTAACCGATGCATTGTTGCATGTAACTGTTTCTTCAGACTTTATGATCGGTGGACCTGTAAAAGACTTCTTGATTAGAAAGAATATTGAAATACCTGACTGCTTAAATACTTTGTAGATGAACACATATATTTTACATACATCTTAAACAGCATTCGCCAAGTATTATGTTCAGAGATAGAGAAAGGTAGATAATTATGCATGGTATGAAATATACATTAATACTTGTAAAATTAAAGGTATGCATTATTTTTCATCCCTGGTACATTACATCATCAAAGTGTTAAAGAAATTAAATACACAGAATAAGTCAAATGTCTTTTATCATAGTCAAAATAACAGTAAAAATAGAGAAATATTACTACTATTGCAGAAACACAATATATGATAAACGAATGACGAAAGAACACAAACAAGTTATATATGATATCAATGTATAATATCAGTTTTTGTCTTTGATAAACAAAACATTACCTGAATACCAAATCAAATCATTTTGAACACATCAAACTGATCTGCAGTACACTTGTTATGAAGCTTTCCCTGTGTTTATTTCAAATTATTGTATCATTGTATTTGGGGAAACTATCCTATAGTCAATCTTAATGAATAAAAACAACTTAGCATTTATTGCGACATCTCACTGAATGCATACCAAACACCAGCAACACGATGTGGCATGTGTTCCTAAAACTTTGGTTTTCTGTTTAGTTTTCTGAAGAATAGTGTTTGCATTTTCGGGGTTTTTTTTCTTGGCTATGGTTTTGTTTTTTGTTAGAACAATAGCAATTGAGACTATAATGTGATCATAAAATTCATACAATTCATATGACAAAATAACTTTATACAACTTCAAAATATGTTTATCAGTACGTACCATAAACAATCAACGAAACAGTTTTATTTGCAAAGGTTATGTTGCCACCATATTCATTATACGCTTCACATGTATAATCGCCAGTATCATTATGACTGCATGAATTAAATTTCAACAGTGACTTTGTATGCATCTTTTCCCCTTTTAAATATCGAATTATTGTGCCATGTCTGGAATGCATCCAATTGTAAAACCCAAATAAAGGAAATCCGGTGTTGATTATGCAATACAAAGTAATTGCAGAGGAGCTTTTACATGTTACTGCCTTGCTAATGTCAATGATTGGTTTTCCTTCAAATTGCAAATATCAAGATTTTATTTTCACAACACATTATTTGTTTGGTATTAATAAAGATCAGTAGAGACTTTACGTACAACTAACACTTATTATTCACCTCAACATGGTCATATTGTATGTCCAAGACGTACTTTGTTTTATATTTCGCCTCGTTTTATTACAATAAATTAGAATATGAATATATCATTTTCACTTTACCATTTTGTAAGTAATGATTGCAGATATGTTTACTAGTTATAAGTGATAGTGACACTTACATAAGCAAAAATATTATAGAGGTCGCCTTCTAAACCTATTATGTAACATTTTAACTATAAGGTTCAATATAAACTGGAGGCCTGGAAATGGTCTTAAAAAATGGCCGTTGTTCCCATCCAACGACAAGAATCTTGAAAATTACTTCTACATGTTAAGAAAAGAGAGTAGAATAAAAGTCTGACAGTGCAGACCATATTGGAATAAACCCATTTTATGATTGTTATGTTTTACAGACTACTTAAGCTATTAATACAAATGGTTTACTGTATCTTGTTATTTTACATTTACGATTAGCAATTTAATTCTTGCTAACATATGTCTCTAATGCTTACACGATTTATCCTTTTCCTGACCTTTTGATTATCTTTATTTAATCAACGTGTGGTTCGTTTGATCTCAGGTCAAAATTCAATTATGACGTAAATTTTTCGTGCTTTCTTCTGAAATTCCCATTGTGACGTCATGAAAAAGGTGACCATGCCTGATGACGTCACATAGAAAGAACACATCTTTTTGCAGATCATACGAAAGGAGGGTTAAATTTGCATATCGTTTAAAATTTATTAGGGAAACAGATTATACCACCAAATCTTGTGCAGTACGATATTTATCCACTATCGACAGTTAAATTTGAAATATCTAAAACGCTCGGCGAGCCTAACGTTTTAAATTTGAAAATGTAACTGTCTCGAGTGGATAAATATCGTATTTTATTCGATACAGTGGTAGAATATATATATGTCCAAGGTATTTTAGTTCATCCAACAGATTTTGTTTTATTGAAGGCTTTTCTGATGTTTTTTTTTAATCAACCATCGTTACATTGTATATGTTGTATATGCGTATTTCATTTTTTATAGAACATGTATATATCTTTCTTTGAAATAGTATATATATTTCATTGATATTGTATAATTATATCATTTATATTGTATACTGATTTCGTGTTCGCATCTTTAAATATGGCTATAACATTTGATTTTGGTGTAATATCATGAACTACTGTTTTCCCTCAATATGCGAAGATTATCATTAGAACCAGTATCTATTGGTGAGCATACATAACGAATGTTTTTAAAACGTGGTACAAATAACATCTTTATTTATTGATATATACTCACTACTTATGACAAGTGAAATTTCAAAATGTCCCGAAATTCCATCTACATTTGTACAACATCTACAGGTTTTGCCATCATGAACCACATGTATATTGCGCATAATAACCGAATAATATTTTGTCGAATTAAATATTGAAACTTTTCTACTTTTAGGTTCTACCTTGCCAAGACATTCCCATTCAAATTTAATTTTCGTCGACAAAGTTTCCACAATGCAGGTAAATACAACATTGCTGCCAGATCGAAATGGTAACACAGGTTCTGTAGTAATTGTAGGACCTTTGAAGTCTTAAAAGATATTGTGTAACTTTAATAAAAAATAAATACATGCATATCCTAGTATTGCTATAAAAAGTTCAACTTTACAAGTTATGCAATGACGTCATATTGGATGTCAATATCTCAGTACGTGGACGAATAAGTTAGGATTCGATTGGCACAAGTAACTTCCCTTTTGTCGCCATGCTGGATGTCTATGTGCATAGAATACATACTCAGAGATAGAAACGCGCTTGGAGTGAACGATTCGATTTCGTTTGAAAAAGTATGAAACAATTTATGCATATTTGTTTAAATGTCTGCCTCTTCTTCATTAACTGTTTGTTTGCTCTTGTGGTGATTTTGTCACAAACAGGATTTATTTTTCAGATTTCTTTATTTCCTATTTCCTGTGTTTGTTATATGAATTAATATGTAATGTTAAAATTCAGTTTTATCAAACATGTCGAATGAAAGCAATAATGCTTAAAAAAACTTATTTGTCAATTCATTAAAAGGGAAAAATAATAATAAGACCTCATTTCATTTTTTCACATTTACAAGTTGAATTACTTCAAATATAACGGTCACCTCAACGAGGCCTATAACCTGTTTTTCAGATTAATCTCGTCTTGTCCTCTTGTATTTTGAATTTTATTCAAAATTGGCACCCCTCTTATATTATCATTTTATTTGGTTTCAAGGGTGACCTATGTACTAAAATGTTCGACATTTGTGAAAAATTTACAGTTAATTATGCCTCGCAAGACAATATGTAATATTCATCCTGTTTAAATGCAACTATTAGTGTTATTGTGAAAGCTATTGTTATAACCAACAATAAACCCAGGTTTAAATAATATTTTCTACATTAGGAAAAGCCTCTACTTAGTCAGGAATAAGACAGTTGTTTTCCATTCGTTTGATTTGTTAGAGCTTTTGATGTTGCCATTGGTTAAGGGACTTTCCGTTTAAATTTTTCCTGGAGCTCGGTATTTTTGTTGTTTTACTTTTTACAAGAATGGCAGCGAAAAACGTGACATATCCACTACGAACATGATCATAAAAACTTGTTTGTATCATCCTTGTTAATGTATTGGACCAATAATTTAAAAAAAACATGGATGTAAGAATTGAAATCTAAATTCTTTATAAGAAAAAAATATCTGCTGAGTTTCTGTCATAATGACAGGTCAGCGTTCACACATGACCTTTCACAAAGACCTGTATGCTTCTTTTAAAGGCATACACATGGCTTTTACGATTCAGTTCAAATTAACTTAGTGTAACGACATGAATGATGATTTCGGTTAGTTTTTTTAAAAATTCAAACACGCCCATCAGTCAATCTTTGTTTGATAATCCTAAGATATTTGAAACAATTACATCTCATAGGGTTTAGTTCTATTTCTACCTGACATGGATATACTGCCTCCGTTTTTCAAGTTGTCCGTTATCTATTTTTTTTATTGTTTTTACATTATCTGTTATATTGAATCCTACAAGAACGGAATAGAAATGAAAAACAATTGTTGAATATGACTTCTTCTTATTTGGTTTTATTATCTCACCTTTGTTAAATTTTGGTTGTTTTTAACCCTGGATATAAAAGCTTTAACTACAGACGATTGTATCATTATCCATGCTTTTTGCTCTTAGGCTTTGCATGTTTCCAATTAATTTAATTGTAAAGAAATTATATATTACTTCTTAAAACGATTATGAAGACGACCGAATATACTTATCCAAAGATGAATGAAGAGACCTATGAGGTATTTTTCAATGAGACAGCAACCTTGAAACATAATTACCTAAAAGATATCTACATGTCAGAATGTAGTATATGTAGTATTGAATTGTAAACAAGATTACATAACAAATATCTATTAAGTATGTAATAAAACATTGCGATAAGTGTAATAAAAATATCATTGACGGAGTTCCTCATTTGTGACAGTCATATGAGTGTACAGCTAGATTAAACTATTGATGGCGATGTCCACTAGTGTATTAACTAACGGTACTTGAATGATAAAAATCATCACAGGTAGACCTCTTAATTTTTAAAGTAAAATATAAAACAACTGTACAACACAAAAGTTGAAATAAATACTATGCTGTGATTTCATTAATATTCGTTCGTATCAATTATCGTTTTTTTGAGGAATAATTTCTTTTCTTGGATACATAACAGTCAATAACACGTGTAATATGATAACCTGAACACGGTTCTTTAATACGTTAATGACAATGATCAAAACTTTAACTTAAAACAATAGCAGAAAACACAGTACACATTCCGCAATCGTATTACTTTCTGTATTACTAAAACTATTGTATTAATGATTTATAAAACTAACTACATGCATGTATATCATTTAATTAACTAGGTAATTTTCCTGGTTATCCAGTTAATCATTTGCAGTGATAACTGCTGTAGGTCGAGTAATGTGTTACATTAGGCAATACAAGTGAATAAAAGATAATGTAGGTGTTAATTAAAAGACAAAATGGTCCGAGAACACATTTTTTTTTGTAGTGAATTTCTTTAAGACAAAAAACGCAAATAAAAAAATTGCACCTGCTCTATCACAAAAAAAAAAAGATTTTTATAGTGAAGTGTACAACTTTTGAGACAAATTATATCGAAATTATAGAAAAGTCAATTGACTCTATCTCAAAATATGGACAATTTTATGTTGAAGGGGTCTATAATTCAGTCTGACAGCTTCAGACATACTACTTTTTAACCTTTTGAAACAAGACCAAATTACTACAATACCTAAAAATCATGTCTCAATTTTTTTAAGCATGTAATTTCATCCCCCTACATACTATCTTTAATATCTAAAATTATGCAGAAATAAATCTGGAAGATGTATGAAAAAAATTTGGAAGTTACAATCTGTCGCAACTAGGGATTCGTTGTGTAGACAACAGAACTCAAAGAAGGATAACTGTGTACCTGGATCTAAAAGGAATATAACACAACTCTATACCGGTAATATTGTCATCAGATACACTAATCACAGATAACAGAATTAAAATTGTATACGCCAGACGCGTGTTTCGTCTTCCGTAGACTCATCAGTGACGTTCAAATCTAAAAAGTTAAAAAGGCCAAATAAAGTACGAAGTTAAAGATCATACAGCTACAGCTACGTGAATCGCTGGTATTGGATTCATGTTCTATTAATAATCTGAGAAGTTAATATAAAGCAATGAAATGATACTTTTAGATGAAAAATGTTTGGTTTTGCTGTATGCTTTTTTCAATGCAATTTCTGTCCAACGACTATTCATTTGAAATATACTTTTCTTTGTAAGTTTATTACTTTTTTTCACCCTTCTCGTATCGTATAGATACAATCCTTTACTTACCGATAATTTTTACGATAATACTGTCTGAAAAGGATCCATATGCCTTGAATGCCATTAAACATGTAAAGTTCACCACACCAACAGGTTGAACGACTTTGTATGTATGACTGTACCATAAACCTTGGTTTGAGCATACGCATTCATCGGGAGTGCATTTTGTTGATAAAACGCTAGACAAACAGCCGTCACGCAGCAATGCAATTGTAGTATACGCTTTTCCGTCTATTTGAATACTTGCTGTATTTCCAATAGGTGTGTTGTTTGATGAACAGTTTAGTCTTACAATACCAAAACGCTTTACATGCTGTTTCCCTGAGAGTGTAACAAAAGCGTGTGCTGTATAACCTTAAACCAAAAAAAAAAACATACTGATAAATGCACATAAATATATTGGAAACGATAAAATGTATTACAAACAATCGTGTTTGCCGTATTTTAATTATTGAATTCAGTGACCACGTTCTCTTTGTCGTCCTCTACATAAGTATTGAATTGTTTGCCTTTATTGCATTAGGGGTATTTGTTATGATAATACAATGTGTGTTAAAAAGAAGTAGGACATGGTTTTTATCTTAGAATTTGTTAAGTCATTTTTATTATCATGTGATTTGCTTTTTTACTCCAACATTGATAGAAATTTGCATGCATGTTTTGTCATTGTTGTCGAAATTTGAATTCCTAAAGTCAAGCCTTATAATTCCGTCACAAGTTTTGTCTCATGGTTGAAACAACATATCAATCTATTCTGATTTTACTATAAAAATCTATAAAAGATGGTTATAGTTGAATCAGAATAGATTAATATGATTCATTTTACATCATAATCATACTGATGAAGAATATCTTTTATCCGAAATATTTATAGATACTTACATTTAATGTTTTCTTTTTTCAAAATTGTTGTGTACACTTTTTAGGCGTATATATATACCGGTATGTATATGAATATATATAGAAATAAGGAGATGGTGTATGATTGCCAATGAGATAACTGTCCACCAGAGTTCAAATGAAGTAGATATAAGCAAGGTTAGACAACCTTAAGGCCTTCAACAATGAGATAAATCCATAACGTATAGTCGGCTATAAAGGACCCGACATGAAAAAATGTGAAACAATTCGAACGAGAAAACTAAAAGCCTAATTTATAACAATTTGTTTTACGAAAAACAAATATGACAGACTTGAACCAATGACACCCACTAAACTACAGGTTCCTGATTTGGGACAGGCACATACAGAATGTGGAAGAGTTAAACATGTATGTGAGCGCTTAACCCCCACTCTCCACCACACCTACTCCGGGACAGTGATGTAACAGCACAACATAAGATCAAATTGTAAGGAAGTTAGATTGTAAGAACTTTTTTCACGTCACGAATATGCTAATGAGTCCCGTTGTTTTGTTGGTTTTTGGTGCTTTATAGTTAATATTCAATAAAGTGTTTTGTTGATTGTTGTTGTGTGTGTGTGTGGTTGTCGTTCTCTATTGAACTGATAGTAATGTAATGTTTGATGTGAAAGACTAGACACATATTACTTTTATTGTAATTTAAATAAAACGGGTATGATCAAATATTTATTATTTGATATGTATATATATGATCTAATGTATTTTGCATGTATTGTATTCAAAACGAATGTGTGTGTTGTTGTCCTTCCATTTTCGGTACCACGTAAATGCAATTTTTTAATTACTCATTCTAGTATGGCTTGGTTTTCATTGAAAACTAATCATATGTTTGTTAGATGTAAACTATACTTACATGACAGCAATGCAATAAAGAGAAGAATGCAATGCAATAAAGAGAAGAATGTTTCCATTTTTTATAGTTCACATGTATTTAAACTTTTTATAATAATGTTTAATTCACTTTTCAAAAATCATGTTTCCTGGTGAATAAAGCAATTGTTTTATTGAAATCATTCTTTCCTGTCACGATTTTTAATAAGTATAATTGGTATTATCACTGAATATAACCATTTGCATTTCCTCCCATTTTAGGTTCACACATACTTAACAATAAAAACGAACTATATTCAGGTCAATGGATAAGTGATCCATGTATAAAGCTATAAATAAAAAACAGTACTTATTGAGTATCTGATAGTGTCAGGAATATGCATTTTTCTCAAAGTTAAATAGGTATGCTATAGGAAAGTATTTTCTAAAACTTAACAGAATAACCAAAAATAAGGTTTAGCACCATAAACTCTGATTTTAATTCCTTTTGTAATCAAAACGGATTACTAGTGTGCTTTTTTTTTTGCTAAAATGTGTAAAGATACCAGTTAGCGTCAATTTAAAATCTTACCATTAAATTATAGTAGCATTTAACATTAATGTCAAACTGACCATTAATTGGCAAAATCTCCTTCCTGCTCTGAATATGTCATAGATTATTTTGAAAGTAGTTGTTTACTTAAAAGAAACGTTAGATTAAACAATAGATTTTCCAAAATCGAGGTCATGAAGCGACGGCGTCGTGTCCGCTCACGGGTATATTCCCAGGACGTGTTTTATTTGCAGAAAATTCAGCGTTTCCTTATATTCTTCGGATCAAACAAAATGGAGTTTTTACAAAAGAGTTAATAATGTGTGTCTGAAGATATCACCAATATTTTGATTTTACGCAACGCTTCCGTTATTGAATACAATAGCAGGTGACGGTAAATGGTAACGTTCGGTAATTGCTCCTTAAGCAGAAGTACACGAAATTGGATATGTCGTGCTACATGTAAAGGGTATTTTGAAGAGGTTGAACAAATGACAATTGATCTTCATTTTATCAAACATACTAAGAAACAACTAAATTGCCAGTGAAATGACTTCCTCGTAAGCTTCCTGAGGAATTGTTGTTTCAGAATTATTCACATATTAATGAAGTTCATAAAATGTGAAGTAACACGCGCATTACGTAGTAATTGTTATATGCATTCGACATACCACAAATATTTTCGCCCCGTATGTAATATAACATATATTTCAGATGTCTATCTGTCGGTTTAACAGGAAAAATCTAGACAACACACAGAATATTACCAGTTCAGCCAATTTCACAACATGCAAGCAATCACTAAAATGTTTATCATTTCACAACATGACCATGCAGATATCTGAAAGTCAAATTGAGTACCTAAGCAAGATGCATATGCTTTCTTTTCTCTTTTTTTTTTTGAAAGTCTGCATATATGATGCATTATTCAAATACAAAAAGAAATCGATAGTAATGGTGCAGAATGAGTATCGATGGAAATATTGAGTTTATAATTTAATCAACCAACAAAGCTCGACAGATAC